CCCCCCCCCCCCCAACGATTTCAATGGTTTTTTGAAAAGAAAAAAAAAAGTTTTAGTGGGAGGTGGGGGGAGGGGGGTACTAAATGGGCGTGCGTTCATTTCGTACCTCCCCCCTCCCCCCATCTCCCACTATACCTTTTTTTTGTTTTGTTTTTTCTTCTTCTTCTTCTTGTCCTTCATCTTTTTTTTTTTCTTCTTCTCTCTTCTTTCGATCTTCCTTTCTTTCTTACTGTCGTTCCTTTTTTGTTTCTTTCTTTCTTTCCTTCTTTCTTTCTTTCTTTCTTTTTTCCTCTCCCGCACACTCCCCAACGATTTGGAAGGTTTTTTGGAAAAAAATAAAAAAGGAAGAAAGAAAGAAAGAACGAAAGAAAGCAATAAAGAATGAAAAAGCTAAAAAAGAGAGAAAATAAAGAAAGAAAGGAAGGATGAAAGAAAGAAAGAATGAGGGAAAGACGGAAAAAAAGACAGAAAGAAAGAAAGGGAGAGAGAAGGAAGGAGGGTGCGTCTTTGTAATTATTTTTTTCCCCTTTGCAACGTTGTCATTTCTTTCGCTTTTTTCATAGCAATGAGAGAGAGAGAGAGGTTGACTATTGCGGGCCACCGGAACACGCATCGATGTGCATATGTGTATTTTTGGCCCGCAGTAGCCAACTTCGGTCAACATCAGAATGGCGGATCATCCAACAGTTTCTTTGTTCGTGGCGATTGTCTCTATCTCTGGGTCCGGAATAGGGCTCTCTCTTTGTGTCTCTGTCGCAGCCGTTTTATATGTGTTTACTTGCATGCGTTCTGACATTCATGTCTTGCTTAATTCCTGGTTCTGACGCTTGCATTTCGAAATAAGAGTCCGCCACGTTGGAGTTGTGCCGTGTTGTTCAGTGATGTATAGACTCGTGTACGGGGAGGGAGGCAGATGTTGAGTAGTAAATACTAGTGTTGCCACATTACATTTACACATAGAGAGTGTTTGGTAGGTCCCCGTTGACGCCATTGTACGGAAGCAGTGAGGCTCCCTCTCTGTCCCTCTCTTTCTCTCTCTCTCTTGCTGTGTCCACGTATTTCTCTGTATATACAATGTTTTCCAGATGTCAAGGTTCACCACGACCGGACATAAAAGAAAGCTGGGCGGAGAGTGTCATGCAAGGATGGATGAGTTCCTTCCCCCACGCGGCACCATAAGACACCTGAAACGGATCGAAACAGGGGTCGGACTGTAGTCAGCGACCGAGAATATATAGGCAGGCTAACAGAGGAGGTGCATAAGCAGAAAGTACTGCTTAGAGAGATGTCAGACGAACTACGCCGCCTTAAGTCGCTCCTCGATGAAATGACAGAAACTGCGGAGCACAGGATGTTCACCGTGTTCTGGTTGTTGCTTGACAACATGAAAGATATAGACGTTACTCGTCTGAGGGAGGACATGTCAGCCGGACTTCAGACAATTGCTGAAACGAAGAACACCACGTTCGTGGGTGAGGTTGACTACTGCGTGCCATGTCAGTCTGTACCGATGCTGGTTGTTGTCCCAATGGCCCGCAGTAGCTAACTGCATCCGGAACGCAGTGTATGTTTGCCTGTATGGGCGAGGTTGACTACTGCGGACCATGTAAGTGTCCACCGCTGCTGGTTGTTCACGTTCTGACCCGCAGTAGTCAATCTGTCGCTGGTGTCACATTTTTTTCTGTTTTTCCAGCTGGGTGAGGTTGACTATTGCGTGCCATGTCAGTGTGTACCAATGCTGGTTGTTGTGCCGATGACCCGCAGTAGTCAACTTTTTCCGGAACGCAGTGTATGTTTGCCTGTATCGGCGAGGTTGACTACTGCGGGCCATGTAAGTGTACACCGCTGCTAGTTGTTCTCGTTTATGGCCCGCAGTAGTCAACCTGTCGCTGGTGCCATATTTTTTTCTGTTTTTCTAGGTGGGTGAGGTTGACTACTGCATGCCATGTAAGTCTGTACCGATGCTGGTTGTCAGAATGGCCCGCAGTAGCCAACTGCATCCGGAATGCATTGTATGTTTGCTTGTATGGGCGAGGTTGACTACTGCGGGCCATGTAAGTGTACACCGCTGCCGGTTGTTCACGTTCTGGCCCGCAGTAGTCAAACTGTCGCTGGTGTCACATTTTTTTCTGTTTTTCCAGCTCGGTGAGGTTGACTATTGCGTGCCATGTCAGTGTGTACCAATGCTGGTTGTTGTCCCCATGGCCCGCAGTAGCTAACCGCCCTCTAACGCAGTGTATGTCTGCCTGTATGGGCGAGGTTGACTACAGCGGGCCATGTAAGTGTACACGGCTGCTGGTTGTTCTCGTTTTGCCCCGTAGTAGTCAACCTCGCGCTGGTGCCACATTTTTTTTCTTCTTTTTTCCAGCTGGGTGAGGTTGACTACTGCGTGCCATGTAAGTGTGTACCGATGCTGGTTGTTGTCCCTACGGCCCGCAGTAGCCAACCGCCCTCTAACGCAGTGTATGTCTGCCTGAGAGAGAGAGAGGTTGACTACTGCGAGCCATGTAAGTGCACATCGCTGCTGTTTGTTCTCGTTCTAGCCCGTAGTAGTCAACCTCTCTCTCTCTCTCTCTCACTCTGTCTGTCCCAGTCTCTCTCTCTCTCTCTCTCTCTCTCTCTCTCTCTCTCTCTCTCTCTCTGGTGAGGGGGCCACGTCGGTGCTAGGGCTTCTGATAAATGTATGTGATGTATCATGCAATAGATGGAGCGTGAGATTCAATCGAATGTCAACGGCGTGGAGACATGCGCGATGGAGACCCAGGACATTGTCAAGGGTATCGCAGTTGTCAGCAACGAAGGGATATCGGTCGGAGCAAACACCACAGACTGTGCAGTGGTCCCTGCGGCAATTTGTGAGCAGACTGCAGACATGATGACGGATGGTGAGGCCAGTGAGAATGATGCAGGATGTGTTGTTGCAGACGAAAATGTGGTCATAACGTCAGCATGAACTCTCTTCTCCTATGACATCACTTGGGTGCCTAGTCGTCTTCAACCGGGTATCGTTGGAGGAGCGCCGTGCTTCGCGTTCAAAGTCAATGGGGAATGGGTTCCATATCCCGTCTCCAAAGCGACGTCGTGGAGGGGCGTGACTTTGTCAATCATCTTCGACAGAGTGCTGAGGTTGAACGATGAGGTGAGCGCTGACGACAAATCGCGGCATGTGTTGAAACTGTGGCATGTTCTGGACGCGAAGGGCGAGTTGAGGCTCAATGATTTTGAGTACGAAAGTGTCGACTGCGGAGAGTCATGGGTGATTGGCGGGTTGGACACTGCAGCGAGTTCGGTTTGCCCATAGACTGATGCCAAGAGGGATCCACGGTGGGGTTGGGTGCCACATGACGCCTCGCTTCTTTGTGGCTGTGTGAAAGTGCTGATGGGTGATGCCATGGGGAATGTATGGACCACGTGTTATATAAACGACAGCTTCTCATCTAGGCACCTGAACATGGAGGTGACTGAAGAGGAGAAAATGGGGATGGCTTGTCCCACCCCTGCTGCTTGTTGTTTTTCGCCGCCTCTTTGGAACCTTGTGGAGCTCGAGGTGGCAGAGGGGAAAGTGTTCGCGGGTGACCATGGGTACACATACACGCATGCCAGAGGGGAGGACGCTACTGCTGATGGAATAACCACGCTGGTATGGGACCCATTCAACCTGAACCCTGACGTTCTGGCTGCCATAGACATTGCGGCCCATGTCATCCCTGGGGGGGCAGTTGCAGCAGCATGTGGCCCCTCAGAAGTATGGATATCGTGTGAATTGGGTCCCAGAATGTCTGCAGCCGGCAACAGTTGATGGCAAGGTGACCATGGCAGCGAAACTGCAGACAGGCCATTGGCTGCCCTTGGGGTGGATGCATGCAGGCATGGTGGAGCAGTGGCAGTTCTTGGTGGTAGTGGCACGTGTCTCCATTTTCAATGAAGATGTGAAGGACCACGTGCTCGTTGTGGAGCATGCAAAGCGGTGCCGAGAGAAGATAAGGGAGGAGGACCGTCAGATGGTGTGCATGGGTTACGACTCCATGCCAGACCAGGGGATGTGGTCCATGGTTGAGGGGAGTCCTGGTGGGCAAGGGCAGGGCGATGGCGAGAACAGGTACATGGCTCACATCCGCCGCAGGCATGGTTGCTCCGCCCTTGTTGGTTGGGTCCCGGCCGTATGTCGCATGACATACGAGCAAGGTGGAGAGATGATGATGAGGTTCAGGGACCCGCTTGGTGTGTCGTTTCTGCTGACGTACTCGGATGGCCTCCTGCGAGACATTCGGTATATGGTTGCCGAGGACACCCGAGGTGGACATCGGAGGCCGGGACAGACGGAGGAGACGCGCCCGGGACATAAGGACAGTTTGTCTGCTGAGGTGGAGGGCCCATGTGGCGGTGAGCGAGTTGCAGGGTGCTCTGCAGCGCAAGGTGACGTGGCCGGGCCCAACAAGACAACGATGTCCCACAGCCTGAGGAAGGTGAAGGCGGTTGTGTCGAGGCCGCGGAGGGGGAAGACGGCTCGTGACAAGCAAAAGAAGAACCCCCAGCCTGTGCCACAGACCGGTAACAATGCAGATGCGCCTGCACGGGTCCACAGACGCCGCAAACACCCCGGGATGGCAGCTTTGACAGAGATCAGGACGCTGCAACGATCCACCGACCTTTGTATCCCTTTCAGGCCCTTCTTGCGCATCGTCCGCGAGGTGGTGGAGAAGGACATTACCCCTAATAAGGGTCTGAGGTTCCAGATGACGGCTGTGCGTGCTTTGATGGAGGCTGTGGAGGCTTACCTGGTCGCCAACTTCGAGAACACAAACGAATTGGCGATCCACTCGAAGAGGGTGACCATCCAGGTGAGGGATATGAGGCTGGTGGATAGGTTGACGAAGCCTCGCTGGGTGGAGAAATATCAGGGGATATTGGACGAGAGGGTTCGAGCTGAGGACAGGCAGCGACGGATGGATGCCAGACAGACTGAGAGGGAAGGCCGAGGAACAGGCGCGAAGAAGAGAAAGCCACCGACACCGAATCGTAAGGGGGGTGGCGCAAAAAAGAAGGCTGCATGAGAGACAGTGTGTGTGTGCTTCCGGAACGCCTGTCTTGTCTCTGTCTGTCATGCTTAGTCTTCGTGGTGTGAGGCGGGTTGATTAAGTGCAGAGAGAGAGAGAGAGGACAAATGTTCGTGGTGTTAGGCGGGTTGATTAGTCTTCGTGGTCTAAGGCGTTTTTTTTTTTTTTTTTTTTTTTAATATCATTTTTGCTTTCTTCCTCTGTTTCTTTCTTGCTTTCTTTTTCTGGTGCGGGGATGATCGTCCCCCTGGTGGCCTCCGAACTTGAACGTGATGGCAGTTGTGTGTATTTTCATTGTCCCCCTGGTCTGTCTGTCGGTCGGTCAGTATGTTTTTCTGTTTGTCTGTCTGTCTGTCTGTCGGTCTGTCTGTTTGTCTGTCTGACTGTCTGTCTGTCTGTTCACAGGGTCATGTCTGTCTGTAATTTTGTTTGTCTGTCTGTCAGTCTGTCTGTGTTCCTGTCTGTTTGTCTGTCTATTTGTCAATTAGTCAGTCTGACTGTCAGTCTGTTTGTTCGTGTGTCTGTCAGTTAGTCTGTCTGTCTTTCGGTGTGTCAATCAGTGTGTCTGTCAGTCTGTATGTGTGTCTATCAGTGTGATAATCAGTTTGTCTGTCGGTCTGTCTCTCTGTTGAACAAACAGTCTGTCTGTCTGTCTGTATGGATGACGTGCTCCCACACATGGCTCCGGAAATGGACCTGGCCAGCAGGTGGTGACAGTCTCTACCGACAGGTAATCACCAAGGTCGATTGAGCTCATGAAGTAGCGGTGAGTGTTCAGAATTCTGCGAATCTCATCACACACCTCTCGCCTGCCATACCCTCGCACTCCAGTTGTTGCCCCTATCTTATGTGTTGACACACACACAATCACACAATCACACACACACACACACACACACGTTGTTGGACGCCGCCCTGAAGTTGGCTACTGCGTGCCAGAATCTGCCAAACGATAACCTTGCAATAGTCAATGGCCCGCAGTAGCCAAGCTCGGCACAGAGACCGAGACACACACGCGCACACACACACATACACACATACTCACACACGCACACACACACACACACACTCACTCACACACACACACACACACGCACACACGCACACACACACACACAGACATGTCGATAACGTTTTTGTGCGTTTCCGCTGGCAGAGAGAAGAGGTCGAAAGACAAAGCTTGTGCATCATGTCGATGTCGGTAGCACAGGTGGCGAAGGCTCTCACAAAGGTGATGAAGTATGCAGAGGAGGGCTTCCATTACAACGGCCGTGGCGAGTTGTCTTTGTTGGAGGAGAGGGTGCCGGGGTACTTAGCTGTTAGCGTGGATATGAGATCCACGATCATGGCCAACGGCAGTGGTTGTGTGCAGGCACGAACACTCTTGGAACGATTGAGATAGTCACCTGATGTTCATGTGGACAGCGACGCGGAAGAGAGCCCATAAAGTCTAAAAGGAGTTGTGCAGTGGATGTGCAGCGAAGGCATGTGTGACGAAGGACTTGTCGACATGACAATGCAGCAGAAAGGGGGGACCTATACACCTGAGGCTTTCAGGAAGTTTATGGTGAGTGTGGCGAAGGGAAGGTACATGCTTGTTGAAGGGGCGAACGACGAGTTGAAGAGGGGTGCTGCAGAAATACTAGTGYTGTCCAGAATCAAGGACATGACACAAACACCGCCCCAGGACTTTCAAGAGCTTCCTGTGATTGTTGCAGACGGTGTGGAATACGTTCTGCTTGATCAGCTATGTGACCTCATGAACAAGACAGAGGACGACAGGAACGTCATTCATGAGGCCTTGCACGAAGTCACAGAGTACGCCGTGCAGGGTCGAGATCTCATTGATTTTGTGCCAGCATCAGCAGGAGAGGAGATCATTAGTGGCAGACCATTGTGGGGGGGCTTGTTGGGTTGTGCTCTGGAGCGGCTTGGTCTTGCAACCTGCGATGTCGAGAGACARAGAGAAAGGGAAGAGGGTTGGAGGCTGATTRCSAGCGAAACAAGGTTACTGGTCATTGAAGAAACCGGGGAGACATCAGCAGCACAAGATACGAGTGGGACGATGGTGGTCGACGTGTCTACCATGCACACATCAACGATAGAGGACTTGGTGTATATGGACATGTGTGAGGGTTTCTTCTTAGGGGAACAACAGTTGGGAGGGCGACGATGCAGAGCACAGAGATGATGCAGAGGAGGAGGAKGAGGAAGAGTACGAGGGGTCTGACGTGGAGGTGAGCGGCAGCGACGTCAGCAGCGACGAAGAGGACGACGACAATGATGTGTACTACGATCTCAAGACGGCCTGTGGACAAGTAACCAAAGGCTGGGCACATGCAATCCTTAGGTTGGCACGAGTATTTCCCGATCCGCACAACGTGCTGCGTGTGGTGTTGAAGGGGGCGACACCTGATGGCGCGATGCAGTATGCTGCAGTGACTAGCATAATGCAATCCTGCAATAAGGGGAAAAAATGGTCACGTATCGGCAAGGGATAACAGAGAGGCCGTGCTAGCAACATCGCTGACATGGGGACTGAACCTAAGCTGCCTCCTGCATGGCGCAGTGGCCACAGCTAGGGGAGAGACTTTGCACCCCGACTTGTCAACAGGGGACGCAATAGTTAGTGCTCGGCCACGRCACCACACACACACACACCCACACAGCACGACAGACCACGTCAAACATCAGGGATGATGCCACACATGCATACCACATGGCATTACAGTTGTTGTACAAACAACCTGTGTGGGTGTGTCTACACATAGATTGCTCAACCTGTACATCCCTCACCTTGTACATCCCTCTCCCTCCCCCTCAATTTGAACAACCCTTGGTTTGACTACTGTGTACCATATTCGTATTCACCGGTGTTCTCTGTCGGAGTATAGGGCCGGACTAGTCTCTCTCTCTCTCTCTCTCTCTCTAGTTGTAGGTTTAGTTGAACCTGTATCTCCCCCACAGGTTTACGACAGCGTGCAGACACTGCATATTTCTTTCTTTCATGCAGTTCATTATTGTTACGATGTTTGTCATTCCATGTTGTTTTCTGGGGCGCTTAAGACTCATCAGACCGTCCCCTCTAAGGACTATTGCGTGTTTCGTGTGTGATTCTGTACCTTTTTTTTATTTTTTTTCGTAATTTTTATAATTGTTATTATTTTTTTTCGATTTAGAGCACTTTTTTTTTTTTTTTTTTTTTTTTTTTTTTTTTTTTTTTTTTTTTTGTTGGTTGCTCGCCCGATCTCAAGTCTCTATCTTGAAAGTAGTGTACACGTCCGGGAAAGTGAGTCAGAGCTTGGCTCGTATGAGCAATCTCACTGCTTACGACGGATACGTGTAAAACACATGCGTAGACGCATTTTCCACAACGTGCAACACTCACACTGCATAAGAAAACATGGTCAGCATTATGTAGTGCACATGCCCCGACCATATGTCTAAAATGCTAACGAAGCACTGTCCGCTTCACTCTGTTTGTCTTTGGAATGCACTGCGTGCACAGGAAATGGACAGCGGTCTACGGGTGTGCGACTGCGGCAGACCTTTCATGTCCGTACGGACTTTAAACTCGCATCGTGCGAGGGCATGCCCCGCCGTGGCGGATGACGGAGCGCAAAGGCAGGAGAATAATGATGCCCACGATCCGGGACCATCCAACATAGGCGCAGCCAATCTCGCTGGTGATGTGAGCGAGGACGCGGGGGCGGAGGACGACGCGAATGGGGCAGCCGGTGATAACGCAGAGCCGGCAGCGCAACCCGTTGAGCCTTTTGACGGCTCGCGCAGGCTAGCGACGCTTATTTTCTCCGCCAGGGGCACCAGGGGCGGCGTCGGTATGTCACATACGGACGTTGATGCTCTCTTGTTACTTCTCAAAGACCCGAGATTCAGGGCGACGGACATTGCGTACCGCAACAGTCGAGAGTGCTTCACATGGGCGGGCAGTTTAGTAGAGGCCGCTGGGTGGAAGGAGTTGGATCTGCGTAGTGACGACTGACCTATAGAAGCGCACGCCGTCTTGTGGCACCGCGATTGGCGAACTGCATTCTTATCGATAATGCACGTCGCGTTGCAGAAATGCGAGACGGTTCATTCCCTCGAGGTGT